TATTTATAAGAGAAGTGCATATGTTCGTTCTCTCCAAGAACAGAAACTGAAACCGCATAAAAGGGCCTGAAAATCACATGTTTAAACAGAGTGTAAAGTCGAATCTAGGTGAGGCTGAGCCTCAATTCCATTATAATAAAGTTTCTTACATGATTACCCATGACCTCTATAAATTCATCGCACACAGTATCGGACAAGTACGAAACATTACCTTTCCCTTTATTTCCATAATTTTTCAAATGTAGTTTTAGTTGCTAAAAAGTGGAAAAAAAATTTAATTTAAAATATCTTAAAAATCTTCCTACTAATTTCACGTCTCCTAAAGGTTCACTATAGACGGATTGCACTGTATTTTGAATACCTAATAACCTAACAAATTATTATTAACACGTTGAATGTCCGGTGCATCATATGTGATGCATGGAACTTTTGACTGAGACGTCCATGCATCACATATGATGCATTATCATCAATTATAGTAAAAAATATATCAGATGGTGTAATTTTTCCTTCTGGGCCGGTAGTAGAAAATTGAAATTGTATGTCTTCACTTCCGGTAAACACTAATCTATTCAGATTTTCAACATTCGAAATCCAATTTAGATTAGAAGTGCCCGTAATGCAATCATTTTCTGTTTCAAATGTAAGTTCAGTTTCTCTCAATCAAAAAATTCACTTTCATTTTCGCTATCTGTTAATTTAAAATTTGGATCCTGAATACAGTCATCACTACTTTCACTCATTATATCTTCTGCATATCGTCCTAGTTCTTCTTCATTAAGAGGTTTTCTCGAGGAAGCCATTCTTCTCTAAATAATTATTACATTTATAACATGCTGCAAGAAAATATTTCACTTTTTACTTACTTGCCAATATGTATAAATCATCACAAAATAAGTAAAATAGAAAAACTGCACTCGTTTTAGTCGGGCGGAATCAAGCATTGATAACCGTTACAAGATAGATAATTTTGGTGTGAAACATGTGCAGAGAAAATAAAGGAAGTACTTGATCTGATGATTCATCCGTCTCTCAGATGAATCATATGTGATGCATGAAAGAACATTTAAATGAAAAACATTTAAATTATGTTTAAAACTTATTTTTGTGCTATATACATGTAATACACTCTAAAAATAATAATATCCGTTAAAATTAAAAAAATTAAAAGTGGGCGTACAACAATTATTTTTTTCTTATGGTCAACGTGTTAATCAAGCAAGTCGTACCTTCTAAAATTCTGTTATCGTATAGAAATCTACGACTCTTTTACACGAGGCAGACACAATTAATAAAATATATAATGTAATGTTTATTTCGTTAAATAAATACTTTTGTTACAAATTGCAATTAATTGTAAACTCTAAATGACTAAATAAACAAAATTATAGCAGCAGTCATACAACGATTCATAAAATAAAAGTCGCGGAAGTCCCGGATTTCCTGATATATCGTTAGGGTTTGGTTTGGGAGTTCCCGATTTCCATCGAGTTCATCTTATACGTAGTGTTTCTATAAGTAGCGGAATGTTGTTACGTCTACGAATAGCATGTGCATCGGCAAAGCGGCGACAAGTCAAATGATCGGGCCGTATTTTGACTTAGCAGCATCGATGCGCGCGCGTTATCATATTCGTCATATACCGTGGCTTCTTCTACATATCCACACTAATATCTGGGAGGATCTTACTATAATTTTAATTATTTGTACATTTACTTTTAAAATTTTTTTCTGCAAAAATGTAACTTCCTTTGTTTTCAACATATTAATTTGTATTTTGTTTAATAATAAAAAATGCAACGCTTAAGCCGTTTAATTGGGCCCCTAAGTCAGCCGGGCTCCTGTGCTATAGCCCAATTAGCACACAGGATAAGTAGGCACTGCTCATCTCCTATATATATGAAAAGGCAAGAGGGCGAAAAATGGATTATATATGCATTCTATTTGTTTGCAAGATCTTTTTAAGAATTCCAAGACAAGATTCGTGCAGGAAATCACTTTCTTGTGAGTTCATACAAGAATCGCGAGACGAATCTTGCCACTTCAGATAAGAATCTTTAATGAAAAAGATGAAAAGGATTCTTGTCTGAAATGGCAAGAGACAAGAATCTTGCAAGAATATCCATAAGAACGTCGACCAGTGTATGTAACTAGAAGAGAAAAATAGAGACGTCCTTTTTTTCCGTTCTCTTTTTCTTCTGGTCAGCTGAGAAAGAATGTAAAATGTAAGAAATTGTAAATACATTTTCTTACATTTCCCATCTTTGTTAGATGTCTAATACTTTCCTCTATATTAGACAAAGAAAGAAATCATTTCTGTTTTCGTCCGTATCGTACAAAGAAGAGAATTAACATAGTATTGGATTATTGTTACGTTAGTGAAATTCGTTTTATTTATTTCTTTTTAATTTAAAATAATAAAATGTTTGTATCAACAAGAAATGACGATGGTACTTTTTTCTTCTATAATCTTGATTATGGTGAATTGATCAAAGTTCAGAAAATTAATCTTTTAAATTCGGGTGATTGGGCTTTTCCATGATAGCATAATATTGCCCATATATTCTCTAATTTTTCTGAATGAGGAATGAGACGTTCGAATTTCTTCAAAGGACAATTTAGAGTTTTGACAGAGCGACATGTCTACAAGCATTGGAAATACAGCAGAGATAAATAGAGATAAAATATCGACAATTGCGTATGTGTCTATCGTTCGTCTTTCTTATTGAAACTCGTATGATCATAGATATCTTGTAAAGTGGTGGACTGATAAACGAAAGGGGACAAAATCTCAAGTTTTCTTAGAATGATGCAAATTTTTTGTTTGTTTCGGTGCCCCTAGTATTTTGAAAATTTCTCCCCAAAAACTTGATCGAATTCGAAAAAAAGGTGATATTCGAAATCAGCGCAGTCAGGAGTACGTGACTACGTAGCTTTCGACCAAAAACTGAGATAGTGCTCGATTTTTGAATTGCGCGCACCTTACGTCTAATCAGGTCCGCTCAGTTAGTACATACATAATAATTGAAAGAATTTCAACACTCCGGTCGCGTAAACATAAACAGTTACGCAGAATTCCATATTTGTTCGCCAAAAAGAATCTATTTTACATATGTATTAAAACCTGAATTAATTTCTTCTGATTTCTGTCGCTTCGAGCTGAGAATGAACATTTAGGGCTTTTCTTGTAAATTGTATAAGTTTGCAAAGAAAGGTCGTGTAGAGCTGGGAGATGTCTCATTTTAATCAGACTTTTGTAGGCTAGAATCGTATCTCACTAAAAAAAGGTTTTAATTATTTTTTAGAGTTTCTGAAAAACTGGTTTTACAGAAAATCGGATTTTTAAGAGTTATTGGCACGAACCATTGTAGGCATTTTGCTATCCCGATACCCTCTATAGATCGACGTATGAACGATTGAAAAAGGAATGTTATAGTAGAATAGTGTTCCTCGTTAGTCTTTCACCTCTTCTGAAGGCCAAACAAAACAAAAAGTTCTTGCTCTATAGATAAAAGTGAAGCTAAACCGCTGCTTAATCCAATGAAAAAAGAATAAGGTCGATATCTATCTTCCTCTGACTACCAAGTCCATCTTTGAATACACTTTTTAAAAACAGCCAACTCTCAGGCCTCACAGCACAAAAAGTATTCAGTCGAATTTTTTCTTTTTCTCTCATTTGTAGTACTCGTCGAGCTCTACAAAAGGCATCAAAGATATTTTTGCTCCGTTTCCACTCTCTTTTCTCGATCACAAAGTCAAAAGTATCGATTACTGTTTTCAGTATTTTAGCGGGACTTTTACTCTGATTTTGATTTTAATTGAGCC